CGCGAATACCCAAATTTTTGGATGATAATATTTGTTTAGGAAGGTCCTGTGGTGGTCTATCACCCTTATTGGTTTTGGGTTTGGCCAATGGAAAACCGAATAAAAATTGCGTTTTTTCCGTTTTTTTCGCAGTTTTTGGCCCATAGTATCGCCATTTTAAGTCTGACTTAATGAGCGCCATTAGACTTTTTTTTCGCCTTTTCAAGACGAATCGATTGATATAAGTTGAAGTCAAATCGGAGTATTTTGAAAAATCGCCTTTTTTACGATCGGGATCCAACTAATCCAGATGCGTAAAAAAGGCGATTTTTTCCAGGCGAAAATGGAAACGGTAAGAGCGTGTTCTCTGTCTGTTCGGTGAACAGGTAAGAAACACGTTACAGAGACGAAACAGCGTAAGAACGCGCACAACAATAAGAGAGCGGTTATAGTCTGTTTTCATAACATCCACGAAACAGCTTCCCGAAAGCAGACAGCAAACAGGAAAAGAGCAGTGTGTTGTCTGCTTCCCACAAGTTCTTTTAACACCTAAGAAACAGTCAACTCAACCTGTTCGGAAACGGACACGAAACCTCTTATAGCCGGTCTACCGTCTGTTTCTCAAACGTGCAGAAAACACTTAGCTCTACCCGCGCGCGTACGTACACGGAACGTCCTTTTGTCGGTTTGATGTGCGATTACAAACACGTAGAGAACAGGCAAACTCCGCCTGAGCCCGAACGGGCAAGGAACGTCCTGTAGCCGGTTGGCTGTGCGGTTACAAACACGCAAAGAACAGGGAATCTCTGCCTGAGCCCGAACGGGCACGGAACGACCTGTAGCCAGTTCAACGTGCGTTTACCAACACGTTACGAACAGGGAACCCTGCCTGCGTCCGAACGGACAAGGAACGTCTTTCAACCGGTTCAGTGACTGTTCATAAACATGGAAGGAACAGACAACGCTACAGCCACAGTGGAGGGGGGAGGCGCACAGAGTGGGGCGGGCGGCGGGTGGGGGCAGGTTGTTGCCTGACTGCTCCGTCTATCAGTGTGTTTCACGGCTCCTCACAGCATGCGCAAGGGTGGCCGAGTGGTAAGGCGATGTCACTGTGATCGGACGGCGCGGGTTCAATCCCGGGTCGGAGCCGATGCAGGAGAACCGTAGCAAGCCACGGAGTAAGGAAAGTAGTGAAAGGCGAAGGAGGACCGGAGGAGGGGGGAGAGAGGGGGAAAGGAGGGAAGGGGAGGAGGGAAAGAGGGGTAACAAGTAAATAAAATATTTTTTTTTTTACGGTGTCCGGGAGTGAAGGACGGGAGGGGAGACGGCAGAAGACAGCCGCGCATGCCGGTGGAGGGGGCAGCGGCGCGGCCGGCACGGCACCCCCTCCACAGCCGCGGAGTCCGTACTCACTTCACGTAAGGAACAGGCAACGAACAGGTTGCAGCCGGTTAGGGGAACGCCTAGGGAACACACTGCGAACGGTCAACCATCTATGCCGGCTGCACGTAAGAAACAGACAGTGAACAGGCAATAGACTGTACAGCAACAGACAGTGTGTTCGAATTTACTTGACAAGAACAGGCTACTGGCCGTGGCAAGATCACCGTAGAAACAGCCTGTACCATGTATACGAACAGACACATTTTCGCCTGGGATACTCCGATTTGACTTCAACTTATATCAATCGATTTCTTAAAAAGGCGAAAAAAAAGTTCCAATGGCGCTCATTAAGTCAGACTTAAAATGCGATACTATGGGCCAAAACCTCCAAAAAACGGAAAAAATTCGCAATTTTATTCGGTTTTCCATGGCCAAACCCAAACCAATAAGGATGATAGACCACCACAGGACCTTCCTAAAAAAAATTATCATCAAATAATTCGGATGCATTTTTTGGGTATTCGCGAAAAACGAATTTTTTGGTCCATATCTCCTGGAACAAGTGACTTTTAAAGTGGCTCTCGGGGACTTTTTTTACCAGTACCATGAAAAGAAAAAAATCCACCGGCAGGTCGCCCTCAGGCAACAAACAAATTTGAGTGCAGGTTTCAGTGTTTTTTACAAAATACGTGATTAAAATTTTTTGCCGACCAAAAAAGTTGAAATTTTTTTCTGGAGCTCTTTGCTACATAGGGAACACACCCACAAAGTTTCGTCGAAATCGGAGACATCGATTTCGGGACCTCGGGTGACTTGGGAAAGAATTACCCAATAGCCGAACGCTTGAGATAAGCCACCAGTTCCTTGCAGTCAGCAATCAAAATAAGAAGGGGTCATAGCGACAAACCAGTCCTTCCCGCTTCTTTCAGGGCTTCGATCATGAGCGTGTCGCTTCTCTTGGCAGCAAGGTGCTTGGACAACGCAGGAGCTTCCGCGCATCTAGCCTGCCATAGCACGCATTTTGGGCCCCAAGATCCAGTGCCTCTTAGATGAGGTTGAGGAGCCCTTCGTCACCCATGATCTCCAGTGATCCTCAATCCCAAGGCGCAGAAAGACACGCATGCAGTCTAGAATAGGGATGCAAAATTCCACGATAAGTATTTTTTTGAATTATTTACGTGACATTTTTCATATTTTTCAGAAATATGGAAATTTTAAAAATATATTTCAGTGTTTAAACTGTTTAAATAATGATAGTCCGCTTTTTAAAGAAGGTATTCTCTTGTGAAAGTTTTACGCTGGGTCACCCGAGTCACCCTTACTTTATCAAACAATCTACTCTCTATCGCTTTAGAAGCAGGGGAGTGTGGCTTGGTTTCTGTTAATAAGGGTGTTCACGCTTTTAGAGGAGAGAAGGGGGTTTTATTTGACCACTCATACTGGCATGACATCTTTCATATTCGACCCGGAGCACAAAAGGTTGGAAATATTTACTTAACCACGACTTTCAAGATATGCAAGATTAGCCAAACAACGAAGGGGTGATTCTCCATGAAAAGCGTTAATAGTGGCTGGGGAAAGGTGCATGACGCATGTAATTCCTCCTTTAAGACGAATATAAGGGAATGTTCGTCATTCGTCCTTGAAACATCAAAATTAGGCAAAAATCCATTTTCACAAATTTTCCATGAAAAATTTAGCTTAGGAACATTTCAGGAAAACTATAAAATTTTTGGGCTGAGCGATAGCGAAGCCTGTACTCCAGTGGGTTGAAAAGTTTGTCTGTCTGTCTGTCTGTCTGTCGGTCTGTCTGTGGTCTGTCTGTCCGCACTACTCATCCTGAACGGCTCGGCCGATCTCGGTGAGATTTTGCACACTTCTTAGGTATGTCCTTGGCTCGGCACACGCGAAATTTCGCTATCCTAGCTCAACTGGTTCAGTTTTTATAGGCGAAAAACACCTAAAAAACGGCGAAAAATAGAGATTTCTGCAGATAGACCACTTCTGTCTTGGAGAAAGGGGGGTGTGGGGGGCGGAGCCCCCCAGCCTCGACAAGTTAAAGGTGACAAGGGTCAAGATCGTGTTATCTGTAGATAAAACAACTCTATTTACAAGGTAGGTTACGCCAGACCGTATCTTGTCGTAACAGGCTTCGCGATGCTGCGCCAGTTTCGACAATCCACGCCTGGCGTTTGCACCTACCTTGGCCTGCGGCGCTAGCCTGCCTTCGGCAGCCATGGCTCGCCCATCGTCGGTAACTTCTAAATTCCGCCCCCCAGACCCCCCTTCATTCCAGATAGAGTTGCTTCATCTAGTAAAGATCTTACGCTAACTTTCAATTAGGGGCTGGTGGGCCCCCAGGACACCCTTCTTAGACGAATTTCTGCAAAAACTCGATTTTACCCATTTATTGGTATTGGTTTAAAATTAGTGACTCAACTGTTACAAGGATTATCAGAACATGGGTAAGCGCTCTCCACACTGTGCTCTTCAAGTCTGCAATGAAAGACATCCCTTCTAGACATAAAAATAAAAAATCTTTGCCTGAATGCTTTGGGCCTTACCCAAATTGTAGAATTGTAATTGATTGTACAGAATTGAGAGTGCAGGTTCCTGATGGTATGAAGAACAAAAACTTGGTTCACAGTGGTTATAAAGGATACAGCACTGCAAAAGGAGCTGTTGCTGTGGCACCTAACGGTACCATAACTTTTTATCTGATTTGTACCCTGGAAGCAATTCTGATAAAACTATAATGCATGAGTGTGGAGTATTGGACAAATTGCAACCTGGTGATCTTGTTTTAGCTGACAAAGGGTTCCTTGTTCATGATATGTTGCCGCCTGGTGTTACTTTAAATATTCCGCCCTTCAAAAATACAGCCCAGTTCACTCCTGCCCAAGTGAGAAATACAACCAGTATTGCAAGGGCTAGGATACATGTGGAGCGGGCAAATGCAAGAATCAAACTGTATGATATATTAGATTGTATCCCGCTAATATGTTTAGCTATGCCTCACAATTGTTCCAAACGTGTTGTGCTTTGACAAATCTGATGCCTCCTCTTATTGCAGAGGTGGAGGATGAGATGAGACTGTGGCAGTAGTGTCTGTTTGCTAAATTGTAATGATTACTCTGTACTTGTTCTGGGGAATAATTATCTTTGTATTAGAAATTTATTTCTGTATTCAATTAAAACGTTTATTAATTATTTTTCTTGTCTATTGTATGAACTGCCATACATTTAACATTCATATGTAACATTAGTAACTTCACCTTATATTAGTGACTCAATTTCAAAATAACAGCAGTGAACAATAACTACCATTACACTAAATCACAAGTAGGACGGTCTAATTGTAAAAATGACCTTAAATTAGTGACTCTTATACAAAATAACAGCAGTGAACATTAACTACCATTACACTACATCACAAGTAGGACGGTTCAATTATAAATAGGAACAACCACATAAAGTCAGTCTTCATAACAGAACAAACTAAACTTGTAGAAAATAAAATAAAGCTTCAAGGCATTTCTTAATTGTGAGTAAGAAAACTTGAAAACAGCCACAAAAATAAAATAAAAATATTAATCATTTAAAAACAAACACAGCACTTTGTATTCTTTGGCACAAAGTCACTCTTCTCGATGCTTCATTAAACGGGGAAAGAAATCCTTCTCATACTTCTTCAGCAACCTAGGCACATTATTATCATACCACTCATCACTTCTCTCTACCTCAACAATTGCTATATCTTCTGGGATCCACACAACAAAGTAACAAATATCACGAAAGGAACACCACAACTCACCCTGTATCTGGTGATAATAATTGTGATCGTCCCACAAAACAAATTTGTCCAAATCTTCATCATAATAAATAGCATACCTCTTAGAAACTGCAGTATCAAAAAAATCTTTTTCATTCTTTATACACTCTTTGAGGCTTCTGGCATTTCTAAACTGAAACGGGCACTTTATTTCCACTACAGCGTTTGTACCAACAAGCCCATCAGGGCTACAGGCCCACAGTCCACTTTCATGAATCCAAAGCCCAGTCTCCACCACAGTCAAACCAGTTGTTTCAGAAAATTTCTTCTTTGCATCACATTCATGATCTGAACCCCACTGGGCAGCATTTAAACCAGGCTCTTTGTATTTTCCTCCTTTCACATTTTTCACAACTGTAGACTTTACCTTCACTCTTTCAAAGAGACTCTTCAATAAAGACTCACACAATTTCCTGTTCTTGACTGCGGCATGTATGACGTCTCCAATCTTACTCCCATTGAATCGGTACATTCTTCCTTCAGTCCAAAGAGGATTCGTCATTTGGCCCACAGTAGCTGATGCAATCTGGCAGATTGCAGAAGGGGACATCTTGGCAGCAGAAAGAAGGTACTTGAATTTATCACGAGCCTCATTAAACTCAACAGACCTCAAAATAGACATTATGCATGGAATTGTAACACACTCAGGCGAATCTTCATCCGTGCCATTCTCAGGTTCTGGTTCAGGCTGCAAAATCCAGGCAATGCCAGCACCACCCCTGCCACACTGCCATATAGTACGACTCATTTCTTGCAATTCTTCTTCTGTACATTCTGGAACAGCACTATAAGGTTTCTTGGGAGGGTACAATTGATCAAAAGACAAGCCATCATTTCGCTCTTCAGTTCTTTTCGCTTTCCAAGAACATTCAACGTCAGTTACACTTATATTGTAATGACCACATATTAGAAGGGCAGCTATGTGGTGGCAGGCAATGCCCCTGACACAATTGCAGTTTGTTTCCTTAATGCTGTAGTCTTCATTTAAGACCACCTGAAAAGATTTCGAACAAAAACACAAATGAAATTTCAATGGACACAACAACTAACACACTCTAAAAAAACAAAATACCTACAGAGGTTGTGTAATTTTGACCCTTCATGGAGGCTCTGACAGTTCCTTTTATTACAAGGTGGGATGAATCCCACACAAAACTCTTCACATGGTTTGATTCATAGGCTTTCTGTCCTCTTCGAAATTGCTTGTGCAGGTCGGCCTTTTTCCGCTTCTTGGAAACGACTTGTTCGGTAGAGGAATCAAATGCGACTTCAAATTCTTCTTCATCATTGATTTCTTTTTGACAGTCGTCGAATCTCATGAAATAATCATTTATATGATACAACTTTAATACGCTTTTCCTTGCCATAACCTGACCTGAAACATGGCACAAAGTTTCCATTAGTACATTTCTTCGTAAAATGTAATGTCACTTGCACTTAAACGGACAAAAATACACCCAATTATCTCTAAATCCCTCTGGAACTTACTTGTAAAGCCTTATTTCACAGTAAAACTATTAAATCTTCGGGCAAAAGCCCCCGGGCTCGTCCCGGCACCAGCGTCGCGCGAGCGTCTGCAGCGGAATCAACATGGCGGCGGTTTGTTTGGCTCGGGTTGCTAGGCAACGGTGGAGGTGCGAGTGGAGGGGGTGGGAACGTGAAAAAGGTCTATTTACTTGACAAGAACAGGCTACTGGCCGTGGCAAGATCACCGTAGAAACAGCCTGTACCATGTATACGAACAGACACATTTTCGCCTGGGATACTCCGATTTGACTTCAACTTATATCAATCGATTCGTCTTAAAAAGGCGAAAAAAAAGTCTAATGGCGCTCATTAAGTCAGACTTAAAATGGCGATACTATGGGCCAAAAACTGCGAAAAAAACGGAAAAAACGCAATTTTTATTCGGTTTTCCATTGGCCAAACCCAAAACCAATAAGGATGATAGACCACCACAGGACCTTCCTAAAAAAAAATTATCATCAAAAAATTCGGATGCATTTTTTGGGTATTCGCGAAAAACGAATTTTTTGGTCCATATCTCCTGGAACAAGTGACTTTTAAAGTGGCTCTCGGGGACTTTTTTTTTCAGTACCATGAAAAGAAAAAAAATCCACCGGGCAGGTCGCCCTCAGGCAACAAACAAATTTTTAGTGCAGGTTTCAGTGTTTTTTACAAAATACGTGATTAAAATTTTTTTTGCCGACCAAAAAAGTTGAAATTTTTTTCTGGAGCTCTTTGCTACATAGGGAACACACCCACAAAGTTTCGTCGAAATCGGAGACATCGATTTCGGGACCTCGGGTGACTTGGGAAAGAATTACCCAATAGCCGAACGCTTGAGATAAGCCACCAGTTCCTTGCAGTCAGCAATCAAAATAAGAAGGGGCATAGCGACAAATCCAGTCCTTCCCGCTTCTTTCAGGGCTTCGATCATGAGCGTGTCGCTCTCCTTGGCAGCAAGGTGCTTGGACAACGCAGGAGCTTCCGCGCATCTAGCCTGCCATAGCACGCATTTTGGGCCCCAAGATCCAGTGCCTCTTAGATGAGGTTGAGGAGCCCTTCGTCACCCATGATCTCCAGTGGCCTCAATCCCAAGGCGCAGAAAGACACGCATGCAGTCTAGAATAGGGATGCAAAATTCCACGATAAGTATTTTTTTGAATTATTTACGTGACATTTTTCATATTTTTCAGAAAAATATGGAAATTTTTTAAAAATATATTTTAAGTGTTTAAACTGTTTAAATAATGATAGTCCGCTTTTTAAAGAAGGTATTTCTCTTGTGAAAGTTTTACGCTGGGGTCACCCCGAGTCACCCTATACTTTATCAAACAATCTACTCTCTATCGCTTTAGAAGCAGGGGAGTGTGGCTTGGTTTCTGTTAATAAGGGTGTTCACGCTTTTAGAGGAGAGAAGGGGGTTTTATTTGACCACTCATACTGGCATGACATCTTTCATATTCGACCCGGAGCACAAAAGGTTGGAAATATTTACTTAAACCACGACTTTCAAGATATGCAAGGATTAGCCAAACAACGAAGGGGTGATTCTCCATGAAAAGCGTTAATAGTGGCTGGGGAAAGGTGCATGACGCATGTAATTCCTCCTTTAAGACGAATATAAGGGAATGTTCGTCATTCGTCCTTGAAACATCAAAATTAGGCAAAAATCCATTTTTCACAAATTTTCCATGAAAAATTTAGCTTAGGAACATTTCAGGAAAACTATAAAATTTTTTGGGCTGAGCGATAGCGAAGCCTGTTACTCCAGTGGGGTTGAAAAGTTTTGTCTGTCTGTCTGTCTGTCTGTCGGTCTGTCTGTTGGTCTGTCTGTCCGCACTACTCCTCCTGAACGGCTCGGCCGATCTCGGTGAGATTTTGCACACTTCTTAGGTATGTCCTTGGCTCGGCACACGCGAAATTTCGCTATCCTAGCTCAACTGGTTCAGTTTTTATAGGCGAAAAACACCTAAAAAACGGCGAAAAATAGAGATTTCTGCAGATAGACCACTTCTGTCTTGGAGAAAGGGGGGTGTGGGGGGCGGAGCCCCCCAGCCTCGACAAGTTAAAGGTGACAAGGGTCAAGATCGTGTTATCTGTAGATAAAACAACTCTATTTACAAGGTAGGTGTACGCCAGACCGTATCTTGTCGTAACAGGCTTCGCGATGCTGCGCCAGTTTCGACAATCCACGCCTGGCGTTTGCACCTACCTTGGCCTGCGGCGCTAGCCTGCCTTCGGCAGGCCATGGCTCGCCCATCGTCGGTAACTTCTAAATTCCGCCCCCCAGACCCCCCTTCATTCCAGATAGAGTTGCTTCATCTACAGATAACACGATCTTGACCGTCGTTACTTTTCAACTTCACGGGGCTGGGGGGGCCCCCAGACCCCCCTTTCTTCAAGACAGAAGCAATCTGCCAACACAAAACTCGATTTTTCGCCGTTTTTTCAGTGTTTTTCGGCTATAAAAACCGAACCAGTTGGGCTAGGTTGGTGAAATTTCGCGTGTGCCGAGCCAAGGACATACCCAAAAAGTGTGCCAAATCTCACCGAGATCGGCCGAGCCGTTCAGGAGGAGTAGTGCGGACAGACACACAGACAGACAGACAGGAAAAATTTTTCAACCCCACTGGAGTAACAGGCTTCGCTATCGCTCAGCCAACAATGTAGGGGGGTCTGGGGGGCGGAGCCCCCCAGCATTCCACAAGTTAAAAAATAACCGACAACGGACAAGCCATTGCCTGCCGCAGGCAGGCTGGCGCCGCAGGCCAAGGTAGGTACGCCAGGCGTGGATTGGAGGAACAGGCAGCGAGACATCGCGAAGCCTGTTACGACAAGACGCGGTCTGGCGTAAACCTACCTTGTATATTTTTCATGAAAAATTTCCGGCCTTGATATGTGAGAAATCGCAATCGCGATACTAAATTTGGAAATCGCCCGTCCCTATTGTTCCCCAGACTCATCAATTCTCAGCAGTAAGATCATACCTGGTTTAAACTTGGTGCCCTAAAACTCAACCCAGCTACCGTGAAACGGGGTAATTTCGGACACTCGGTGGAATTTCGGACAACTCTGCCTGGAAGCATTGCGATGATGCTCCCATCTAACGGCCAACTTGGAGGCTTGTCACGTTGCGCGCATCGCATCGGCCACACTTAAAATCATCTGATCAATCACCCGGAGGCCAAATCTGGGGCAAACTTCAGGAGAAAGAGTGGTTTTTGTATTTAACCATTTTTACCTAAATTCACTTTATGCGTGAAAACTTTGACTGGCAAGCCGAAACTGTTCATGGCCGGTTCATGAGGTGATTGTTTGTCGATTCGATCATGTCAGAGCATACTGTGTCAAATTTTCAATCACCTGGGTCAAATAGTATGGTTTATATGGGCTCAAAACTGAAAAAATGTTACTTTACGGGGTAATTTCGGACATAAAAACGTCACGCCAGGGAGAGTGGGTATGTCCTGAACACTTTCAATTTCGCAGGGTTTGAGTGGTGGAAGCTGAAGAGCTCTTCTGAAAGTTGAAGATAATCCAATAACAACGATAATCCCCAATTGTTACAGCTGATGCTTTGAAAACTTCGAATTTCATAAAAATGGGGCAAAACTACATCTTTAATATTTAGTTTTATGTGCATATCCTACGTTAGTGTCAACGACTGTTTTGTGATTAATTTTCTTTCATGTGACATGAGAGTTGGACTTTGCGAATGGCTGCATAGCTCGCCCACTGTAAAAAATTATTGTGAATTTACGAAAACATTTTTTACAAATTCCCTGTAAAGTAACAATACCATTTCGTTATTTTATGAAATTTATTCGTGGAACCAAACATCAGCTTGAAAATTCTGGCGTTGTAATTAAACGCTCTGACCTTCGCCGGACTGAAACAGACACGTCACTTAATGCAAAGAAATGGGAAAAAAAGAAAGAACAAGAAGGCCAGACAGGTAACTTAGTCATTCCGATCGAAGTTCCGGCAACCTCGCCGCACATGTATAGCGTAATGCGCCAGAGAGTTCAGTGCACTGGCACAAAAGTTGCACCTTTCGCTTTGGAGCCGCCGCATAGCGGACGGGGGAAGCGACAGGCACCCAGACGCCTTCACCGCCGTCAGGGACTCACATGACGCAATCTGCTCGTACATGAGGCCTTTTCATGAATTATTCATCACAGAAATCTTCTTAATTTTATGAAATTTGTTTGTGAACATCGCCTTATGAAATGGTTCGAATGAAATACATCTGAAACGTGACTGTAATACTACAGCAATGTCACAAAAACATGAAAAGTTTCCTAAAATTACAACAAATGCTTGGGTAATTCCGTTGCACAAATCGCTTGTAAAATTACGAGATATGGTGATGCCTTCATCATTTTACAAGATGTTTCATTAAACAAAACAAAAACGCTGAAAGAAGTTAATCTCTATTTAATAGGGTGGGCCGTAAAACACGATTTTTCGATATCGCAAACGTAATAGCGCGCCAAAGTTACTTCATGGCAATACAAACTCAACGCGATCTGGGCCAGGTCTGTAACTTAAAGCTTGACCCTCGCGCATCGACGTTGAATATTCGAAAATTTGACTTTTACGGGTTTTTCTAAAAACAGCCATAGAAACTGAACCTGATTTCCAAATGATGTTTCCGAGACGGAAATGGAAACGTCTGATCATGCTTTATCAGTTTAAGACCACCGGGACCCTCTACGAGCAGTAGGGGACTGATGGGAGAAAATTACAAAATTACCATTTTTTTCCGTTTTTTATAAAACGCAAAAATTGCCTTCAGGGTTTGATACGGCCATCCTGACGTCACCGTACCCGAACCATACCCCGAATCATCTTCTCTAAGGACCCCTTCCCCGTTTTCAGCGCACGGGGTACC